GCGATTTTCAACAATGTGGGCAAGCCTGTGAAAGCGACATAAACGTCCTTTTCACTGATTAGGCCTGGCTGTTCGGCATTGTCGGGCTCCGGGAACGTTGACTCCTCAAGATGGCAATCAGGACAGATTACTGTTGCACCAAGCTCGCCTTCGATCGTATGGTCACCCTTTGCCTTCGCGCATTGACACATATCTGCAGCTGGTGCATCAGATGTCATTATCGTTCTGTATTGGTCGGGTTGCAGTAGACGAAAGTATGGCTTGAAGAGCGGTGAAGAGGGTTAACGAGGGAGGGATAGACTTGGCCGCTAACGGTAGATAATGACAGCATCATGTGTCTCATGCTATGGCCAATTGAATTAGCTGGGCTGGGACCATCCCCGGTTTGGCGGGTAGGGATAAACAATTTTCAGAGGCCATGCAAATCGGAGTAATAAAAGCTTCCGAGACATAGTTTCATGTATACAATATGCCTTTATGGCCAGGTTTCTCTCGGCTCTTTAAGAAGTTCCGCACATCTATCGTAAATGGTTAAATGAAGTCGGGTGCTTAGATCTCATCTTGATTCTTAACACTGGCGATCCATAACTTCCTCGCCCTATGTGGCCTTCTTCTCTTGCCAGCAAAAAAATCTTCTTGAAAAGGCATTCCAAACCAGTCTTGATTGTAGCTTTGCAGAAGACTTCTCCGATTCCTTACTTCGCGTTCGTGGTACATCCTGCATTACCTCATAATTGGCTACAACGCACGCTGGTCACGATTGTTGTACATGCTCCGCATCACATTTACAGTTATAGTCAGGGAAAAAATTAAGGAATCCATGTTTCGTCGCAATCTTCGAACTGGTCTGCATAATCGACGTCGCTGTCATCAGCATAAAAAATGTTCTCCTCCATACCATTACTGCCATCCAAGACCGCGCCCTCCTTGTCCGTTGCTATTTTCGGGCCTCCCATAAGCTCAAGAGCATTTTGTAGCCTATCACCCGCCAACATTCGGTACTTTTTGTCCTCTTTTGCGATACATCGTAGAACTTCCTGCTCCTCCTGGTCGAGTTTAGCGCGCTTCTTGGCTATTTCTTCCTGAGCACGTTCAAGTTGCAGTTGTATAAACTGTTTATTTTGTGTAAGCTCCATAAGTGCCGACTGAGTATCTGAACGTAGCTGCGAGATAGCTTTTGCATGTACTGTATCTCCTAGAACCCGGGCAAGCTCTTCGGCATCAGTGAGAAACCGTTCTAGCCCTACAGAGTTAGTACGTAGGCGATGAACAGCTGTATGTCTTATGGATGCAATCGAACGCAGTAGTGCGTTCGGGAGGTCTCCGTCGATATTTCCTCTCATGCTCCCCTCACGCCCGAATAGTTCGGCCCATTTACTGAGTTCGACCGATTCAGGACATTCCCAACCGCGTTTTCGCATTACATCCGGAAGCGCTCGTGTTCCAAAGTCATAGCAGGCAAGTTCCAATGTCTTTTGCAGTTTCTCCATAAGCATGTGCTCGATAGGGAACGGCAGATATACCGGAAACAACGATAGGCTACCAGTTTCGCTTTCCGTACTACTGTTACTAGCATCTGGGCATAAATTCAGTCATTATAGTCCACCTATGAAAATATATCGCTATTACATACCCTGTAATGCCGCTGTGACTTCTGCCCACTCCAGGGCCCCTTGGCTATCAGCCCACTGGGTTTGTATGATGCCCTCGAGCGCAGCATGTTCGCTCTTGGCAGCTTCTGCTTCTAGAAAATTCCTAGCTGCGGCCTGGGCCGTAGAGGGTTCGAAGAGGTCGGGGAAACGTTGACTGGCAATGGAGATTGATTCGTACACCCTACCCGAAAGGAGCTTCAGAACTGGCTGATGTATGGCGTCGGCGCCATGTTGAGTCACAAGCTGCCGGACTAAACTGCCCTTTCGGAGATGACTCTCGATAGTCTTCTTTACGGGCCCAAGCTTTCTGTATTTAGCTCTCTGGCCGACAAATATGTCCTTTGTCGCCTGATAAATTATCTGATCATCCAAATGCGCATTTACAGCTGGGTCCATATTGGACAGTCTAGTTAGAAAGCGGAGAAGTAAAGGTTAGGAAGCCCCTTCCCCGCTCATGGATGGGAGATTTCGTGCGCCACTAAAGCTGCATAGATGCCTAGGCGCCTAAGCCTTTATTATGCCCTACACGCCCAACACGGTTTATGTACCTATCCAATCAACTTCATATGTTTAGATTCGAGTCAACAGTAAATTTACCGATCGTTGACTCGTCCGTCTAACTCAAGTCGATATGCCAATCTGCGAAGTATTGTGCTACGCCGTTGTCGCCGCCCTGTCTGTTACTACATAGGTTTAGTTTCCGATTTCAGTTGTTCGAGCGAGCTTTCTTGGGTGAACAGTGTTTGAGTTTATGCGTGTCAACAATTGGACTCCGAAAGGGAATTAAGTATGGCCTACAATAGTTCAGTCGTCTCGATTTGCTGTCGTATAATTATTGTCGCTTGTCCTATTGTGAGCTTTGTAGTTGAGAGTGGAGAAATCAGCTAACCCAAAATATCGGGGACTACTTTAATTTTAAACCCTCCCAGCCGCGCCTCCCCAACCTCAACTTGCAGCTATCCCTGTCCCAGCCTTCATAATCCTAGCTGCCGTGATGTGACTCTGACCCCTAAAAAAATAACCGCTACCTATCTTACATAGCGCGCCTCTGAACTTTTCCTTCCCACGTTTTCACTATTGCTTCCTCACTGCTTATTATTCTCACGCAACGATACCCGGTCGCCCTTTTCCAGATATGGATGTTGACGTCCAATGCACAATCTGCGGTTCCAACGCTCGCCGATGCGCCCGCTGCCATTCCGCTGCATACTGTTCCCTTGAATGCCAGCAAACTGATTGGCGCACACATCGCCTTCTCTGCGCCAAGTTTGCAGAGCAAGCCCAACGCGGCTTTGCCAGTCGGCCATCTCCGTCGCACTATCTTGCTATTTTCTTCCCTATGGACCAGAACCGGCCTTCTCTTGAGTGGGTAGATACCAAGAAGGATGAGTACGAGGTCAACCCTTACTTCCACCCAGTCCTGGACCAACTCCTGCATATCCCTGGAAACGGATACATCGGGCGCGACTTGCGCCAGGTGCGAGGCAATGTTCTCCGTGGAAGACCCAGCACGCAGGATACCCTCAACCTTTGGTTCCTCGATCCGGACGTGCCACCCCATAATATGGCAACAAACAAGGCAATCCATGGTACAATCCCAACCCTAATTAGCGATACATGGGGTGACTTTATCTGGAAGGGCCCGGTCGTCGCAGTCATGAGGAAGGGAACCGGATTTGAACCACGCCACTCCACCGACATCACCCTCACTGCCTACCGCGATGCCATAGACTACCTGGGCTATTATAGGGACACAGTCGGTAGCATGATTGAACCCGGCCAAGAAGACCATTTCTCTAGGCTCGTGCTAGCCGACAGGACCTCCAAGGTTGTTGGTGTCCGTATCAATTGTCTCCGCGATCAGATCAGCCGACAGGAGCCACAGATAGTGGAAGTAACTGTGCCCAAGACGCACCCTCTTTTTAACCTAGAGGGTGATGACCCGTGCGATATTCCCGCGCTTTTCGGCATGAACCTCGTTGCAAAGTCTTACAGCAACAATCAATCCAACGACGATGAGACGCCTCCAGCTGATGATCTGCAGAATCCTCTGGCTCAGCTTTTGTT